AAGCATAGGCGCCTCCAACCAAACAGCCAAGGCCGTATTCTCCGTCCTGCAGGCGCGAGGCTGGCCCCATGCAGCCGCCCTGGTCTGGGCTGTTGAGGATCTGGTCGATTCCGAAGCTGATGGGCTCCGCGTGGCCTGGGTGGAGATGGTGCGGACCCAGGTGCTCCATGCTGGCCCCGGCCCCGGCCCCGCGGGGGGGCCCGGGCGGCGGCGCGCTCTGTGCTTGGCTCGGCGGGCAGCGCGCAGGAGCGCGGAGGCGGCAGCGGCTCCCGGCTGCGCGGAGACTTGGAGGCGAAGTGCGCAGGAGGGCTAAAGTAGGGGGAGAAGAAGGGCGCCGTATTCTCCCCTTCTCCGGCTGCTCCTTCCCGTCTCCGGCTGCTCGCTCGCTCGCTGTTGACTCTGGGACATCAATCACCGAGCGAAAAAGCCCGGTGCTAGCGAGCCTTGGCGTTCCGGCCGGGTCTCTCCATTGGCTGTGCGCTGAGAGGAGCGGGGTGAATGACAGCGCAGGGGAGGGGCAGAGAGGGGGAGAGGAGGCCGGGAGCCCAGGCAGATGCAGGAACCAGAGACAGAGGCCGGAGACCGAGGCTCAGAGTAGTTGTTCGGGAAGGGAAGGAACGATGTAAAAAGAAAAGAAAAAGAACAGGAGGCCGCCATTCCCAGAGAACGAAGAGAGACGAGAGGCAGACGGCCCAAGGAGGGGAGGTCGGAGCCCTCTTGCAGCTTGGCAGCAGCGGCCCCTCATTTTGAATTGGGCCAAAGGAGTCCAGCCCTCTGGGCCTGTGGCGAAGGGGTGGCCTTGGCTTTTGGAGAATCTCCCCCAAGGGCTCTGCTGGGGAACACCTGTCTGTCAACCAGGATTTACTCCAAACTTCAAGTCTGGCCTGTTCGGAAGTAGAAGGCTGCCTCCTCCCCAGGTATGGAGCCCAGGCCCCTGAGGCAGGAAGGTGAGTTCAGGCTTGTCTTTCTTCGAAAAATGGGCCTATGTTTTGCAGTAAATGTTAGTGAAAAAAAAAATTAACAAATGTCCAACTCAACCATTCTCATTTCAGAGAAACTGAGGTTAGGAAGACTTCCTGAAAGGCAGGGAGTGGCTTGGGCCTGCTGCCAGGGCACCGTGCCTCAAGATGGCCCTTTTCTTTTAAATAAACAGATGCCTCAAGAAACAATTCCCACAAGATGTGAATCAATTCATTCAGATCACTTTCTGTGTGGCCACCAGTTCAGGGATGGCTATTTCCAGCAAGGAAACTTTGGGCTGAGGGGAGGGAAAGAGTTATTTTCTAACTTTTGGAATCTTGGGAGGGAGGTATAGTGGCTTAAGATAGTGGGGTTGGGGGTGGTGGGACCAAGATCAGGGAAACTACTTTTCAAAGTTTTGCCTGCGGTTGGTTTAGAGCCAGGAGAGAAGAAGGAAACTCCCTTTTCCTGCTTCCTTTCTTCCCCTCAGCAGTGAGGAAGGGTCTGCCTGCTCCCTCCCAGCAGCCATGCTCTGGGAAAGGTTCTGGTTAGATCACGTGGGAGCTATTCTTGGTCTATTTCACATTCAACAGGCCTTCAGGGAAGGGCTGTCTCTATCAGGTAAGATGCTAAAATGTGACGACTCACATTCTACTTACCAGGTTTAATGACAGTCTGCTGGCTTTGGTCATGTTTGGTATCTCCACTTGAAGAGATCGCCTTGGAGGCCGGAATGACTTATCTCTGTCCTCACTGTGGCGTGTAGCCTCAAACCCACAAAAATATTAACCTTGGATGGATAACAAATGAATGCACCTTCTTAACGCCACAGGCATTTGTTGAGTGTCTGCAGGGTGTCAGGCACTGTTCTTGTCATCAGAAAGCAGCAATGAGCCAAGCGAAGCTCCTAACTGGTTTCTCTTCAGATCATATGAACCTTTCCACCTTCTATAAAACAAAGCTCCTGCCCTCATGAAGCTTATATTCTATAGAGAGGGTTAGACAATCAACAGGCAAATACAATAAATCAGATGGTAGTGAGTGTTGTGGAGGACAAAGTTAGCTCTATACTAACTCTTTGAGATGAGTGTTATCCCTGATTTACAGAAGCAAGAATCCAAAATTCAGAGAGGCTAAGTGACTCAATCATGGTAGAGGAGCTGTATTCAACTTCTTTTGTAGGTCAGCTTGGAAACCTGGCTACTAGTTGGAAGTGTGTTTCTAAGACGGAAAACTCATAGAAACAGGGAAAACCCTGTATGGGCTGATGGACAAAGATCCACTCAAGACAAAGCCAGATGTAAAGCTGGTGATTTTTATAAGCATTAAGCAGACACATTAAAGAGCTCTACTTCTGACCCTCTCTGGTGGTGCAGCCAGTTAGGGTGCAAGGTAGCCCCAGCTGCTTGAATGCGCACTGGATCCCCCAGCCTGGAGCTGACCCATATGGCGCGACAGACCTCTCCTGTCTCACCCTGCTGCTCCCCTCAGCAGTGTACTTTGTCAACCTGTCTGTTCTGCTCCCTACTCTGTTCTGGTGAATCCTCTCACTGCCCCTGCACCTCTGGCCTGTACCCCATTTCTGTGTGCATAAATAAATAAATCTTTTAAAATAAATAACAATAAATAAAATGTTTGAAAAAAAAAAAAAAAAGAGCTCCACTTCCTGGCCATTTCTCCCCACTCCACCCTCCCAGTCAGATACCTTTACATAGGAGGTATAGAATTGTCTTTGGAAGTTGTTTGGACCTGAATGCACCACTTTCCTACCTCATATCTTAAGGGAACTAAAACAGAGATAAACATAAGTGGTTTATGTTTTACTGAGAAACTATGCATCAGACACCACACCACAAAGATCTCATTTAAAACTCACAACAACACTGTGAAGTTAATATAGGATTGTCAGAAAATTCATAGCACATTTTTTAATAGAAAACATAGAAAAAATGTCACAACTTTTCTGACAACCCAATAGAAGCATCATCATTTATTTTAATAAATAAGAAATTGGAGTGAATATTCATGACAGTAGCACTCATAATGGCCAAAAGATGGAAACAATTCAAGTGTTCTGCATCTGCTGAATTGTGTATCTATACAGTGGAATAATATTTAGCCATAAAAAAGTCCTGATTCATTCTACAACATGCAAGAAGCTAGAAAACATTCTGCTAAGTAAATGAAGCCAGGCACAAAAGGTCAAATACAGTATGAGTCTATTTATACGCGCCATAGAGAAGAAGAGTAAATCTACAGAGGCAGAGGATGGTAGTGGTTGCCCAGAGTTGGGGGAATGGGGAAGTGGATAGGGGCTGCAATTGGACACAAAGAGTAACAAAAACAGTCTGGAATTAGAAAGAGGGGGTGACTGTCCACTTCGTGAACATATCAACAACGCCTGGACTAAAGGCAAACATTATGGTGCATTATTTGTACCTCATCTGAAACAAAGACAAAACCCAAAACTGAGACAGTGAACATACTTGCCTAGAGTCTCAGAGGCAGAAGACGACTGACCCAGGATCCCAGAATCTGGACTATTTTCCTCTGTGAAGCTGAAAACTCAGGGGAGGAGCTCTCGCTTCCTTGGACGTTGGCCCCACTGACTCTGCTCCTTTTATGGCTAATAAGTCACTTTGGTGTCTAAGCACAGTCATGCATGCTTCATAGTTAAAACCCTATCTTTATGCATTATCCTAAAAATAACTTCTCTTTGCCACTCTCTGCCCCCTGGAGGAAATGTCTTGAGTATTCCCAACATTGTCCCTCTTCTTCCTTTGTCCCCTCCAGGCACACCTTCCCAGTCCCTGTGGCTTATCATCTCTCTCTGATCCATCTCCTTTGTGTCTGTCTCACTCACCTCTTGAAAGCCTTAGAGCTGGCACCTGTCATCCATAGTACCTGGGGGAGGCCCCCCACCCTTGCTAGCCCAGCCTAAAGTTGACAGAGGTCAGAGACGCCTAGTTGGCCCACTAAGAGGATTTCTTTCTCATCAAAATTCAGCAACCCAGGAACAGTCCCCTTCTCCTCTCCCTCACAGCTGCCTGCCTTCGTGGGAACTCTAAGAGGGCGGGGGCACTACGTGGAGCTTGTATTTGGTGCAGCTTCTGCATGTTCACAGTGCCTTGGTCCGCTTTGCACAGCAGCCGTGTTAGGAGAGAGAAGGGGAGGGAAAGAACGCAGCATTCATGAAGCCCCAGTGACGCCCCACGCCGCAGTCACGGTAACTGTCTCCCTCACCCGCCAATTATCTTGTGCTGCAGTTCTTGTTCCCTCCATTTCACAGATGAGAAAAACAAGGCCCGGAAAGCCGGGACTGCGTCTACACTTGCGTGCTGCTTTACCGACTCCATTCATTACAAGCTGTTTGCCCAATGCCACGCTGGCAGATGCAGTCCTTGCCTTACAGGAGTATCCGGTATGTGTCTAGGTGAGCTCCAGCCCTGAGGCCACCTGGTAACACCCCCAAGTGCCATCACCCCTCTTGCCTGCAGAATAAAGAAGCCTCCAATTAAAGGGGGAGCAGCTGGGGCTGAGGCTGGGGCTGGGGAGGAGGGAGGGGAGGGCGCCGGCTCTGGGGGAAGCTCTATTGGATGCCACTCAGCTGCCTCCCCCTCTGGGAAAGACCCTGGGCCAGGGGTTGTCCTTTAGCTTAGGGGTGTGTGTGATAACTTAATTACTTTGTGTTTGTGGGACTGCACCCACAAGGGGGAAAGCCAGGTGTGAACGTGTGCGTGACAGTGAGAGTAACTGGGCAGATATACTGGGCATGTTTTTCAGGAATCTTTTTTTAAATTTATCCAACAAATATTTATCAAGCATGCGTTAGGTATCACCAGTGTTGAGCTATTAGGGGAAAACGGCAAGCCACAGTGACTCTGTGCAGATGCCTGCGGCAGTGAGGGTGCGCGTGAGTGTGCGTTCTGTGTGACGGGGTGAGGGCGGGTGTCCTTGCAGCTGTCCCTCCGTAATGGGCACACACGACGGGGTGAGGGCTCCCTCAGCTACTGTGCGAACATGTGAGTATCATAATGAGTGCTGGTAATGGTGTGTGTTTCTGCGGGAGTTTTATTCTCCAGCCTAGAGCTGAGGGAGTGGCCATATGTGGGTCCCTGGGTGTGGGGCGGGGAAGTTGGGAAGCCCAACAGCAAGGAGAGGGGGAGCTCGCAGAGAAATGTGTAAGGGGGTGTGTAACACAAGGTGGTC